CCCCACCCCCAATGATATAGAGAGGAGAATAGTTGCTATAACTGTTTTCAGGGCTAAACTACTGGAAAATAAGGCTTTCTCAATTCCCCTGAAGACTGCCAGACTTTATCCTAAGGAAAATGATACATCGCCTGTCTACAATCTGTCACTTTGAACTTCTTTCAAATCAACATTTTTTGAACTTTGTTTTCATTGAGGAATATGATTTTGCTTTGTTTTCCAAGCCTTGAATTGTACAGGGGAAAAGAGTCTGAAGCATTCTTCTTCTTGAAGTTGGAAATATCTATTTTGTTTTTCTGCTCATGGAACTCAAATACCTTACCAGATTTAGTTTAGACTTTTCTCGAACAATTCACCTTTTCCAGGGCTGGGATATTTCAGTCCCATAGGAAAAACATAGAGAACAGTTTGAGCATAGGAAAATATAGATTTAGAGAGAAATATTCATTCTCCATTCTGGCTCTAGTGTCACTGTTAACAGTGTTCTAATTATAAAACACCCAGCTGAAACTGAGCACTGATTAAAGCTTTGGGGGGAGGCATTTCAGTTGTAAGGGGAAAATGTGGTTCTTTCATGTTGGAAAGTTCAAGGTGGTGACAAATATAGTCTCCTCTCCTAAAAATAGTACAAGCAAAGAGCAATCACTGACTACTCCCAGCATTATTTATTAATGCTTTACCTTGATGACTGTATTATCTGAAAGGAAAAGTTATAAAACTAATGCAAAGCTAACATCTTCCAAGCTGTAAATAGGATTTAGTCTGGAGACCTAAGAAGCCACACTACTCAAATTTTCTTATTCCATTTATGAGGCTAATTCATAATACACCCTGACTGAGTTAGAAGGGAGCTAGCATTCATTTAATGTCTAGTATGTGCTAGACCCTAAACATACATTCTCATTTAATTTTTCTCACTTCCCTATAAGGCGGGGGTGGGTGGGTGTTATCATCCCATTTACAGTATGGAAACAGTCTCAGAGAGTTCAAGTGACTTGTTTTATACCCCTTATAAGTGGCATACCTAATAAGTAGTAGATTTGGGTTTGAATCTAGAGAAATGCTCTCCAGTAAAAATTTTTGTGATGGTGGAAGTATATATTCTATTCTGTGCAGTCTAACACAGTAGCTACTGGCCACATGTAGCTATTGAGCACTTGAAATTTGGCTAGTGTAACTGGGGAATTGAACTTTTCATTTTGTTTTATTTCAATTTAAATAGATTTAAATGGCCACATATAGATAAGTCACCTGTTAGACGGTACATCTCTATGATTGCCTTTTCTTGACTGAAATTTATAATGCAGATATCTGAACCTTGTGTCCATAGAACTATTAAGAGAAGATCCAGCCAAAACCGGTTTGGCTCAGTGGATAGAGCGTCGGCCTGTGGACTGAAAGGTCCCAGGTTCGATTCCGGTCAAGGGCATGTACCTGGGTTGCGGGCACATCCCCAGGGGATGTGCAGGAGGCAGCTGATCGATGTTTCTCTCTCATCGATGTTTCTAACTCTCTATCTCTCTCCCTTCCTCTCTGTAAAAATCAATAAAATATATTTAAAAAAAAAAAAGAGAGAGAGAGAGAAGATCCAGCCCTAGCTGGTTTGGCTCAGTGGATAGAGCGTCGGCCTGTGGACTGAGGGGTCCCGGGTTCGATTACAGTCAAGGGCACGTGCCCCGGTTGTGGGCTCGATCCCCAGTGGGGGGCGTACAGGAGGCAGTCAATCAATGATTCTCTCATCACTGATGTTTCTGTCTCTCTCTCCCTCTCCTTTCCTCTCTGAAATCAATAAAAAATATATTTAAAAAAGTAGAAGAACCATATATGGGGTTTCTTTTCTAGAGTTTTCTCCTATAAGGATCTTAGTCAGTGGGAGGACTGTTTTGACTCTTAACAAGGGAGAATGAGTTATGTAGAGTCAAGTTTAAATGTAGAGTATATGATAGTCTTCAGAAATCCTAGGATAGAAAGGATATCCTAGGATAGAGAGGAATGCTGAACAAATCCCAAAAATCATACTTCCTTCTTCCCTTCAGAACAGACTCATAAGCAGGTTGCTTGGCGTCTGGGGTGGGAAATGCAGCTAGTGCACCTAAATTTGTAGCCAAATTAAGTTTTTTTATTGTCTAAAGTTTTACATATGTCTCCTTTTTCCCCAATTAACCACCCCTGCCCCAGCCATTCCCACCCAGGCAAGCCCCCACCACCCAGTGTCTGTATCCATTGATTATGCTAATATACATGCATACAAGTCCTTTGGTTGCTCTTAACCCCCCCCTACCATTTGTCTCTGGATCTATTCTTGTTCATCAAAAAGTGACTGAGATATCTGTCCTCGAAGAGTTTACAACTTAATGGTAGTGGGAAGGAAGAATAAGACTAACACTGAAAGAACTGTAACAGAAGGCATGCTCTAAAATGCATAGGAAAAGTACAGATTAAGGTCTGAGAAGGGCCAGAATAGTGTTTTAGAACCTAAAAAAGCCCGAGTTCCTTGTTCTGTTTATTAGCTGTGCAACCTTGGGAAATTTATTTACACTGTAAGTTTCCCTTTCTTTGTTATAAAATGGGAATAATAACTAGAAAATAAAATAATGGTATAATGCATGTAAACAGGGCACATTTTTAATAGCCAATGGATGGTAGTTCCCCCAGTAGCCCTCCCCCATTGCTGTGTATGTAGTAGATTGGGTGGCTATGGATAAAGAAAGGCATCATGAAGGAAATTGCATCTGAGATAAACCCTAAAGGAAGGGTAGTATTTTGAAGGTTGGAAATCAAGAAGAAGGTAGAGGAGCAGTGTGAGCTAAAGGTCTTGGAGGTAGGAAAGTACTGCAATGATTTGATGAATTCTAGGTAGTCCCATTTTGCTAGAGTGTCAGCCTTTTCTACTCTAGTGTGATTCCCACCGGAATCAGCATCATCTAGCAACTTGTTAGAAAAGCAGACCACAACCCAGACTTGCTGAATAAAAATCTGCATTTTAACAAGATCACCAGGGAACATGTTTCCAGATTAAAGTTCAAGAAGTGTTGGGGTAGAGTATAAGGTGGGGCACAGTAGGGGACAAGGCTTTTGCATAGAGCTTTATTATGAAGGCCTGAATGCCTGACTACGTAGTTTAGGGAGTCACTAAAAGTTGCCAAAAAATCACTGTCAGTGAAATTCACCATTACCTGATCACACCTTGAAAAAGGCGACTTAAGCGTAAATTTTGTTCTGAAGGTCTTACGTTCACCACCATTCAAGCAGGTCTCTTAGTAGAAGATGACTTTGGCCCTTTTCTGTCTCATCACTTTCCTTCACCTTCACTTACCCAGTAATCTTTTACAATTTATCCTGGCTGCAGCTAAACCACTTATACAGATAATTAAACTCATGAAATTGGCAAAGTAAGTTTCATTTGTTTGATATCAGCTCAGACCTGGAACTGAGAAATATTTATTTGTTTTGGCCGCTAACCTCTGTGACTGGAGAGTGATATTGCAGTCCAACTCTTTTAGACATTATAAATATTCCCTCAGAAATAACAGGTGGAGCCACTGGGTAGTGAAAGCTGAAAATAGGGAATCAGAGTTTTTCTGGCCTAGGTTGAGGAAGGAGGAAGGGCTCCAAGAAATGGATAAATCTTATAAGAGCTTCTGCCAGCACATTAAGCACCTGGCCATTATCCTATTGCTTATTTCTCCAAATGTTGTGAATTAAAAAACTAATTTGGAGACCCTATTCTTCCCCTTACCATGGAGCCCCATACCTGATTTTAAACTGAAGTCAATTTAAAAATAGGACTCAGATTATGTAAGTTTATTTTATATACGAACTAGTGGCCTGATGCACGAAATTCGTGCACGGGAGGGGGGGTGTCCCTCAGCCCAGCCTGCATCCTCTCCAATCTCGGACACTTTGGGGGATATCGACTGCTGGTTTAGGCCTGATCCCAGGATGTCCAACAGGACTGATCCCAGGATATCCCTGGATGTCCGGCAGGCCTGATCCCAGGATGTCCGACTGCCAGGATTGGGCCTAAACCGGCAGTTGGACATCCCTCTCACAATCCTAGACCGCTGTCTCCTAACCACTCGCCTGCGTGCCTGCCTGCCTGATTGCCCCTAACCGCTTCAGCCTGCCAGCCTGATCGCCCCCTAACAGCTCCCCTGCTGGCCGGATTCACGCCTAACTACTCCCCTGCCAGCCTGATCATCCCCAACTGCCCTCCCCTGTTGGCCAGATCACCCCCAAGGCTTTTATTAGTATAGATATGACCCTTCACAGAAAATTTCACTAACCCTGCATTACAATAAGGAGTTGACGATTGAATCATTGGGGCCAGGCACCAAGATTTCCTTTCTTTGAATAGTGGAGGGAATAATTATCTTGTCTTTAAGTTGCCCTGAATATCAAATGAGATAATGACTTAGAAAAGCACCATATAAAGACAACTGTCTTTTTCATGTACTGAAAAGACAATAAAGTGGTAAAATGAAAAAAACTATTTTTATTCTCCCCCTTCCTTCCTTTACAGCGTTTATTTAAACTTTGAAATTTAGAAAAATTTCACTCCTATTTTCATTTATTTACATTCAATATTATTTTGTATTAGTTTCAGGTTTTATATTAGTTACAGTATAGTGGTTAGGCCATCATATACTTTACAAAGTGTTCCCTGATATTTCCAGTACCCACCTGGCTTCATACTGTCATTACAACACAATTGACTCTATTCCCTATTTAAGTGACAATAGGTTTACAGGTTCCTTCCAATCTTTCTTTTGTGTTGCCCGCCCTTCCTTTTCTTTCTCATGTCTTCCCTCATTTTCTTTATATAGTATCTCAATTGGCTCTCAAAGCTCAGTGAAGGCACTGGGACTAGCTTAATCCATTTTACAGACCAGGAAACTGAGGCCAATTCCAGTTGGCTATGGAACTGGACTCCTCACGCAGGGAGCCCTCACAGCCATGCTCTCCACCTTTCCTAAGGGACAGCCGCAGGGCAAACAGAACAAACCTCCCCGTGAGGATTCCAAGCCTCATTCTCAAGCACCTCTTCATCATGGATGCTCCACATTCTTTTCGGTCAGCGCCGGGAGCTTCACCAAACCGCTGTGGTGGGGTACCCAGCAGTGCTGTGCCCCCCCCCCCCCGAGGTGGCACCGCCCCTCCACCCCTGCCTCAGGGCTGTGAGTCCGCGCCCCTCTGCCTGGGCGTCCTTCTACCCTGGCAGTCATCGCCTCTTGTTTCCCACGTATAAGGGCCACTACAGAACCTCGCTCTCCACGGGCAAGGCAGATCCCCGCCCGCCAGCACCCTGCCCAGGCCTGAGCCCCCTCCAGTGTACCCCACCTTAGCGCTGCTCTGCACCCCTTGGGCTGCCTGCCTCCTGGCCAGCTGCTTCGCCGAAGCCATGGCGCTTGCCCAGAAGCCGCCCATCAGGTGGAGGCCTGTCCGCGCGCCTGCAGACCCCATGGCCGTAGCTCCTGGTGGCCACTTTGCTGAAGGTTCCTCTACCTTCAGGCTCTCTCCTCAGACCCCCGGGAGCTTGGCTCCTGTGGCCCCGCCCTTCCATGGCTCCCTGCAGCCCCTGCTCTACTCGTCTCTCCTGCCACCCACCTGTCAGGATGCTGCTGGGGCGCCTTGCTGCGGGCAGCGTGGTTCTGGGGCAGGGGCTGGGGTGTGGGGAGCAGCTCCAGTAAAGTTTAGTAAACCCCAGACCCCCAGCCCCTCCTTGAGTGGAGCCCAGGGCAGGCTGGGGGCCTGGGTCCGAACACTGCAGCTGCGGAGGCGGCAGTGGCAGAGAGGCAAGGCTGCATCAGCCTGCCGGAGTGTGCAGGTCACGCCTTCCTGCTCACCCCCTGCGGCCCGGCCCGGTCTGGTGCACACTGCCACAATCCGCCGGCAGGAGTGGGTGGGTTGTGCCTCACTGCTTGGCCTCGCGGCTCCTGGCCAGGTCTGCAGTAGGCCCGCTGGAGTGGCTTGGGGCTGCTGAGTGCCGGGCTCCCCTGTGTGTTTGTGTCTGCAATCCAGCCCCCAGCAGCCCCAGCACCGAGGTGGCGGGGCTTGGGGCTGCTGGGGCCTGACGGGAGCCATAAACACACAGGGCTTCCTTTAGGCTTCACTGCTGGGAGCCATCAGACTTAGCTTGCGGCTTGGAGCCTACGTATGCAAATTAACCGCCATCTTTGTTGGCGGTTTGTTTGCATATTGTGCTGATTAGCCAATGGGAGGCGTAGCGAAGGTATGGTCAATTACCATGTTTGTCTATTATTAGATAGGATTACTTATAATATTCCTTTTGCACAAAAATTGTTATTACATTTTTCAACATAAATTCTGTTGGGAGATTTCTGCCTTGAATTGAATTTACCAGATTTCTCGGGACCTTACCATTTTCTTTGAAAGGGAACTAATTCAGAGTAGAATTGTTTGCCTTTTTTTGCTAAGGATATACCATCTTAAGTCTGTGGGCCACAGATGCAAATGAAAAGTGGCAGGGACCCTCAGGATCACATTTCTGTAATATAACCTGGGGCAGTCATGCAAATGTTAGATTGCATCATGAAGGTTAGTCCTAATTTGACCTGATAGTAGAAGGCTCTGTAAAGTGAATTGTGACATTAACTATTACAGCAGCTGGGCACAAAGAGATCATTGATCTTTCACAAGAATCATGGAAATTCAGTGCTTTCCTCAAAGCCTAGGAATCATTTGCATCTGTATTGCAGATATCATTGCTTGTGAACTCCTTGACCTGCAGATTGGAGGATTCACTGAGAACCACACTTCATTCTGAGATCTTAAATCCCCTGGTTCCATTGGATAAGAAATGTCATTATCCAAGTCCCTAGCCCCACCCTTCTTCAATATACCTACAGTACTTTCTAAGGTGGCTTCAAATGTGTTATTAACTCAAATAATCTGTATTTTGACATGGCATGAAATAAGTGGTCAACCTGGTTTTAGATGAAATTATATTACCACATGGACTTATTTAATTGTGAACATAATAAGATACGGAAATCTATAACACTAATATTAATTGTCCATTTTTCTTTATCGTATCAATTTGTGCTTCTCTTTAGAAAACTACATTTTGTAGGCTTTGGAAATGAGGGCACAAGAGATGAGGAGAAATGAATGATCAAGGTTCAAAGTTATTAACTTTATCCTCAGGAATAAAAGCAAGGACTGTGAGAAATGTATAAGAATTTAGAAAATTTCTAACTTTGCTGTTAATTACTTGTGATTCCCTCATTTATTTTGCTTGCAGTAGAACCCTTAAAAAGTTAGACATTCATGTGCTCATTTTAGGGAGTACAAGTGAGTTAAACAAAATGCATCCTAGGCAGTTTTTAGAAGATGGAAGGACCCCTCAAAATAGAGTAGGTGGTGGTTTTTTTCAAAGTTAAGGAAAGCAAGCTGAATTCCCAGGGGCATTGCAAGTAATCCCCAGGCTAAGAAGTGCCCCCTGGAATTAGACCTGTCAGGAATTCATAGATGATTCCTGTTTTGCATAGAAGAATGAACTAGATAACCTCAAAAATTTCTTCCTAATCTAATATGTTTTCAGTTTCATCATGTATAGTAGAAGATGGTAGAAATAGCTACCATAAGAGATTTAAGAATCAGTTCTGTAGTTTGGTTGAGGAGTACAATATGATTGATAATATTCTAAGTTTAAATCACAATTGAAGTTTTAGCAACAAGGATTCTTGAAATTAAAGTGGTGGTTTTCTTTTTAGAATTTAAATAGTTTTAATGGTGCAGTTTTACTTAAAATAACATTCAGCACTGATCACATATACATGACACAGAAAAGATCCTATTAGTACCTATTGATTTCCTGATTTATTGGTTTATTTAGTGCTGTCCTAAGGGAGGAACGAAACAATAAGATGAAAGTAGCTGGGAAGCATCAGTATCATATGATTTTGCTATTTCTCTAGCCCTTGTTCTCCAACTGCAAATCTTTGGAAACTGTATTGGGTCCTGGACAATATAAAATACGGATTTGTATGAAGTGAATCAGCTTACTGAGTGGAATGTCTCTTTCCCCTTGATATGAGATCTTTTCCTATAAGAAACAAGTCTTGAGATGGTATGCTGAATCATCAAGATTTTCACAAATCTGTATCATACTAGTATGTGGGATGGATGACACAGAAAGTACTTGATATCTCAGTCTTACTCAGAGCCTAACAAAAGTTCTGTATGAGGAACAAAATACCTAAATCCATGAAGTGTCATCTGGGACTAAGTAAAAGGCAAGAATGATTATAGTCAAGTATCTATAACTGAATACTATTAATTCATCAGTTTTTTTTCCTGGACTCCTTTAACCTTTAGAAAAAGGTACAAATAGCAATGAAAAGGTTTAATGAGGAAGGTAGAGTTATCCTTAGATCAGTATATACCAACTCAGACCAATCTCCTCATATTGAACAGCAATTCTATAAATTAAAAATGGAAATTCAAAATTACAATAGCAGTTAATATTTATTGAGCATCTGCTATATGCCAGATTTGATGAAGATTGTTCTATATACATGATCTAATTTTATCTTTTTAACAGTCCTATGAGTAAGGTACTGCTATTAACCTCCTTTTACAGATCATGGCTCTGGCTCTGAATCTCTGTAAGATCCTTATTCATCTACTTCATAAGCTAGAGAAATGAATTAATATATTATTCTGTAAAATTAACATATGCAAAATTACAAAAAATTCCCTGATTAAGCATTATTAATCAGAACCTCCTAATTCCTGAGCATTCCTTTTGATCAAGATTTTACCATCCTGCAGCATAGTACTCAAGTGATGAAGATGCATTTGAAATCTAATTATTTCAAGTAATGTTGATATAATCAGCATCAGAACTTTGAAATTGTGGCATTAATTCTTGATTATCAGCCATCAAGTCTTTACTCTCACTACATGAGTTAACAGAATGAGTCACCTCTCCTGACAATATTGAGTATTAATTCCTTCATTCAACACTCACATGTGGCAGGCATGGTACTGGGCACCAGGGATACAGTTGTGTGTGTGTGTGTGTGTGCGCGCGCGTGTGTGTGGAGAGAGAGAAAAAAATCTTTTTTTAAATTTACTTAGAATAAGATAATCATAACTTTAAGTATCTACACTAATAAAAGACAAAGATGCTAATTGACTGTACCTTTGCTATGCCCATCAGCCAATCAGAAGAGTATGTAAATTAACCCAACAAAGATGGCTGTTAAATTTGCATACTGCAGGTGGGGCGGGCAGCGCAAGACGCTGCCCGCGGGATCCGGGCCTCTGATCTGTGACACAGGGAGGCAGGGCAAGCAGCGCCAGACACCGCCCGCAGGGTCCTGGCCTCCGATCCATGACCCGGGGAAGTGGGGCAGGCAGCACTAGACACCGCCCACGGGGTCCGGGCCCCAGATTGGGACAGGGGAGGCAGGGTTGGCGATGCCAGATGCTGCCCGCGGGCGGGATCCGGGCCTCTGATCCATGACCAGGGGAGGCGGTGTTGTGCCCAGATTTCAAAGTTCCCAAGACCCCCAGGGAGCCAGTCAGTCCGATGCAAAAGCAAAGAGTCATTTATTTCAAACCTAGGTTTGGCTCCCCTGCCACACTCACCGATGCAATGGTAAGCTCCAGTGGCCGAGAGAGAGCGAGGCCTGATGGGACAGGGGGTTTTAAAGGGGGGTGGAGTGAGGGCAGGAGAGGGGACTGTGGGCCCTGCTGATTGGCCAGGCGCGAGTCGGTACAGGATGTGGTCATAGTGATGGCGTGCACTTCCCTTGATTATTATTGGTTAGTCCAGAGAAATCCTGGGTGTGGCTAGTAGCGGCTTCTTCCCGTGAGGAAGCACATGGCACCGTCCCAAAATGGAGGACCCAAGGCAAGATGGAGGGCGCACATGGCTCTGTCCCAAGATGGAGGACCCAAGGCAAGATGGAGGGCGCAGTCCCTGCCCGGCTACTGCTGCTGCCGCTTGAACTCGCCACAAGGCAGGATGGCCCTCCCGCACAGCACCCGCAGCTGGCCTGTGGGCAGACTGGGACTCCAGCGCGTCTGGGCGGCACAGGCCCAGCAAACGGGGTGCGGCCGGTGGAGTGGCCCAGCTCTGGAGGAGCAGCATCCGCTCGGAGCAGGCCCGGCCATGGGGCCGGTGCACTGCAGCATGGCGGCCTCCCCGAGCTAGGGCACGCGCCCCACTCCGCTGCCGCCGCTGCTGCACTGGGCCCGGTCCGGGGGGCAGCGGGCGGGTGGCAGCCCGCGCCGGGCTCCCGCCGTGGGCCGGGGAGCCAATGCCCCCCCCATGGGGCCCAACGGCCGGCCCACGCAGGCCCCGGTCCCCCCGACCGGGCCCCGAGGGCCGCATGAACCCCCGGCCCCAGCGCGGGCAAGCGGGGAGCCGACCACGGGGGAAGGGAGGAAAGAGCCCGGCGGTGAGGCCTTCTGCTCTCATGACCTCCCCCGCGGTCGGTCGCCGCCCGGCCCCACCCCTCAGCCCGCCGCCGGCCACCACGCAGCCGGTCCGGACACTCGGACCCGCTCCGGGGAGGCCAGGCCCCACGGCGGGCGTGGAGGGATCCCAGAGCCCAGCGGCCAGACTCCTCCTCCCGCACCGCCCGGAGAGGCGGGCGGCGCGCCTTTCAGCCGGGCAGGCAGCGCCAGATGCTGCCCGCGGGATCCGGGCCTCTGATCTGTGACCTGGGGAGACTGCTAGAGGGCACAGGCCAGGCTGAGGGGCCCGCCCCCCCCCCACTGAGTGCACAAATTTTTGTGCACCAGGCCTCTAGTGTATATATATTATACAAAGTATTATATATGTATATAGTGGGTTTATCTTTGTAACAACCCTATGCAATGTTATAAACCCCCTTTTATACATTATGAAAATTAAGACTAAGGGAAATTACAAGAATTGCCAAAAGCTACTCTACTAGTAAAGGACAGAGCCAGTATTTGAACCCTGATATATCAGGCTTTGAAGCACATCCTGTTTCTACTATACTATACTATTCAGTCTTCCATGGAACTTGTTTCTGTCAGCATGATACTCCAGAAAGAAATACTGAAAAATGTTTGGAGTAGTACACTAATCATATTTGACTCTGGAACTACTTGGGTGAAAGAAATATCTTTATTTGTAAATTATATAAATGTCTAGTGTTCTTTGAAAATAGTTATGATCTGAATGTTTTGTAGTACAAAGTTATTGGTGTTTGTTTCTTTATTTCTAGTCATTGTAGAGATTGTATAGGATATAGATGTGATGCAGTGAATAGTTGACTTAAGATGAAAACACAAATTTTCATTATTTCACTTAGTTACTCAGATGATATAAAGGAAGAGTATTTGACAAGTCCCAGAAGACATTTAACGGAGGTGGTCCAAGTGTTATGATTGCTGAAGAAATATTACTTGTTATGTGGGCTGAAACATTAGAATAGGGATACTTTTTATTAAATACTATAATGTAAAGTCATTTTACTGAAACTTGATTGACCTTTACCTGACTGTATCCCAAGACTGTATGGATATTTCACAACATTACCTCAAGAATTATTATACAGCTCTGGGTTATAGAAAAATTGATGGTTAAAGAATGAGCCATGGCAGGCCAACCTAATTCCTCTGATAGGATTAGAGAACCAGTGAATAAAAGGCTCAGGAGAGATCCCCTAACATCGGGCTTTAGCAAAGCTTTTGATTCCACATTTCAGGGAGTTTTAAATTGAAGCACTTGAGCATTCAGGCAGAAGAGTAACAAACTATCTCTGCTCATCCCTGGCTGAATCATATAAGACTTAGAGAATAGAAAATGCCTTTGCCATTTTATGTGATATAACAGCTACTAGTAAAGTGACCATGCTTCTGACATCATTTGAAGAGGATGTGATTAACAATCCCCAAATCTGAGTCATAACTCCGCAACACTTCATCTACTAAATAATTCCTCTTTGCAAGGTCTATGTCTTTGTTCCATTTTCTCATTTGCTATGTAATTATGGTTTTCTTTTTTGGAAACCTCTATATCATCATTGTAAGAGGCTTTGACACCAGGATAGTCTAATGAGTGTATCTGCATCAATTCAGCAGCCCTTGTGATGAAAACATGGGAAAATGTCAAAAGATAATCTAAGATATAAGTAGCTAAGCTTTGTCAAAGAAAAAGTGAGTCCAACTATAGCCACATTTGAAGAGGATGCTAAAAGTTTAAGGGAGAAGGTAGAAGATAATTGATAGCTTGTGACCAAACATGTTAATTTCCAAGAAACAGGAGGGATCTTACAAATGACAGAGCCACAGTCTTATAAGAACCTTTTTGTTGTTGTTGATTTTTTTGTTAATCCACACCCAAGGATATTTTTCCATTGATTTTTAGGGAGATTGGAAGAGAAAGGGAAAGACAGAGAGAAACATCTGTGTGAGAGAAACACATCGATTGGTTGCTTCATTCACGCGCCCTGACCAGGGCTTGGCCTGGCTGGGGAGGAGCCTGCAACCAATGAATCGAACCCAGGACCCTTTGGTCTGCAGGCTGACTATCCACTGAGTCAAATGGGCTAGACCTAAGAACCTTTATTTTAATTTTACTTGTCAATAAGACCTATAAAAATTACAGAGGGCATTTAGTTCCAGGAATTCACTGGTTACTCCTAGACTCTTAAGATATAGAGTTTTCTTCTAATGACTTATATACTAAAATCTGGAGACATCCCAGTCCTTAATAGAGTCTGGAATTTGGCTTCTTTTTCTTCTTTAGGATTGAACCAGCTGCCTTTTGACCCTGCCAACAACAACGAACCCCTGCAGTTTGCTAGTGCCAGTGGCCCTCTGGTCACAGAAGGCCTCATTGAGAATGGAGGGGAGTCAAGCAAGAAAAGAAAGAGAACAAATGCTCCTTCAGGTAAGCTAGGCGATAATGCACTCTCTTAAGCCAGTGCTATTGATTCAACATTTTCCTAGAGCCTAGTATGTGGCAGGCCTTGTACTAGAATTTGTAGGAACTACAGAAATGAGAAAGAGTCCCCTGCCTTCAAGGAACTCATGGTGAGACGGGGAAAGTAGGAACACATACATAAATAACTCTAATAAAAAATCATCGGTGTGAGATAAATGTGTAAAAAGGGCGGGGGGGGGAACTGTTGGCCTCATGCAGAAGTGACATTTGTAGCTGGCCCTTGAATGAGTTGGCTTGATACAGGAAGAGATAAGTAAAGAACATTGATTTAGGTAGAAGGAATTGTATGAGTAAATGGCTTCACTGTACATTTTCTTTATATGTACATGTGGCAGGCTACCCTCACTTTTACTTCTAATGAAGACATTTGCCTCTCTCCACCCTCCCTCTCTTTCCCCCAGTACACACTATGCCTGCATGTGTTTTATGCCCTCATTGCTCTCTTAGAACAGCTCATGAACAGATTTTCTTAAAACCTCTATAATAGCCTCCCCTGCAATCCTTTCTCTCCTTCAGGCTCCATTGGCCTATTTTCATGTTAAATTCTTCAAAATGAACGGGGAAACAATAAGAGAACCAGATCTTAATTGATGAGTTGATATTTTAAAATTTCCTCTCTGCTGCTTGACTATTCATTTGAAAACAGTATCCTTATTATATAGAGATTGATCTGAGTATTTGGGATGGGCTCCTTTATGGTATTTCTGTTTTTGTTTTGTTCTGTATTTTTTACCATTAATTTTTTTAATCCTCACCCAACGATATGTTTTTGTTGATTTTAAAGAGAAATATCAACATGAGAGAGAAACATTGATTGGTTGCCTCCTTTTCTTGCCCCAACCAGGGGTCGAACCCACAACCTAAGTATGTGCCCTGATCGGGAATCTAAACCATGCAGTCATTTGATACATGGGACAAGGCTCCAACCAACTGAGCCACCCAGCCAGGACTTTTTACTATTATTTTTACATTCAACTTACAACATGAAACATGTTTACAAACATGTAATATCAAATCTGACTCTTAGATTATAGGTCTTTCTACTTATAAATCAAGATTTTTAAAAAAAAATTATTTTAATTGATTTCTGAGAGACAGGAAGGGAAAGGGAGAGAGAGAGAGAAATATCAGTGTGAGAGGAAACCATCAATAGGCTGTCTCCTGCATGCCCCCTACCAGTGATTGAGCCCAAAAACCCAAGCATGTGCCCTGACCAGGAATCAAACCTTTACCACACTGTTATCTGTGTCCGTGGGTTCCTAATATATAAAAAACCCTGGGTTGTAATTACCAGTAACGACCGAGGCTCAACCAACTGGAAGTCAGTCCACAGCAACCCAGTGCTGACTGCTTCTGTTGCAGGCACAGTGCCCCAGACCTGACAGCTGAGGGGGCTGCGAAACAGGGCCAGAGGGAGGCCTGAAGAGAGAAACAGGGACTGATCCGTTGCCTCTGTGGCAGCTTTAGATCAGCACTTGCCTCTCTCTCACCAGTCTGGCCAACAGCCATACCTCCATTTCTCGCCAGGCCTCTACCAGGGCTGCTGATCAGCCCCGCCTTTCTGATCAGGCCCCATTGATAGGCCCAGAGACACTGACTGGCATATAAACCAACCAATCAGAACCAAATCTGGGTGAAGTGTGAGGAGCCAATGGCTGCCTAGGAGGCGGAGCCTTTGACACTGACTGGCATAGAAACTGACCATTCAGAAACAAATCTGGGTCGACTGAGGAGCCAATGGCTGCCTAGGAGGTGGAGCTTTTGACACTGACTGACTTAGAAACCGACCAATCAGAACCAAATTTTCTGGCAGAGGAGGGCAGTTCGGGGTGAGATCAGGCCTGCAGGGGAGGGGAGTTGGGGGCAAGATCAGACCAACAGGGGAGATCCGTTGGGGGCAAGATCAGGCCGGCAGGGGAAGGCAGTTGGTGGCAACCAGGCCGGCAAGGGCAGGGCCGTTAGGGATGAGATCAGGCTGGCAGGGGAGGGCCGTTGGGGGCAAGATCAGGTCAGCAGGGGAGGGCAGTTGGGGGCAACCAGGCCTGCAGGGGAAGGCAGTTTGGGGCGAGATCAGGCTGGCAGGGGAGGCCAGTTAAGGGCGATCGGGCAGGCAGGCAGAGGCCATTAGGGGCGATCAGACAGGCAGGCAGAAGGGTTAAGGACAATCAGGTAGGCAGGCAGAGGTATTTAGGGGTGATCAGGCAGGCAGGCAGGTGAGCAATTAGGAGCCAGCAGTCCCAGATTGCGAGAGGGATGTCCTGTGGGATCGGGCCTAAACTGGCGGTCGGACATCCCCCAAGGGGTCCCCGATTGGAGAGGGTGCAGGCTGGGCTGAGGAAAGCCCCCCCCTCCATGCACGAATTTCATGCACCAGGCCACTAGTATGCATATAAGTTCTTTCGTTAATTTCTTCCTGTTTCCCAAAACCTCTTCCCCTCTGAGATCTGTCAGTCTTTCCATGCATCCATGCCTCTGGACCTATTTTGTTCATCAGTTTAATTTGTTCATTAGATTCCACATATAAGTGAGATCATATAATATTTGTCTTTCTCTGACTGGGTTATTTCACTTAGCATAATACTCTCCAGGTCCCTCCATGCTTTCACAAAGGGTAAAATTTCCTTCTTTTTGACAGCTGTGTAGTATTCCATTGTGTAAAAGTACCACAGCTTTTTTGTCCATTCGTCTACTGATGGGCACTTGGGCTGTTTCCATATCATGGCTATTGTAAATAATGCTGCTAAGAACATAGAAGTACATATATTCTTTCTGATTGGTGTTTCAGGATTCTTAGGATATATTCCTAGAAGTGGGATCACTGGGTCAAATGGCAGTTCCATCATTAATTTTTTGAGGAAACTATACTCTTTTCCATAGTGGCTGGACCTGTCTGCATTCCTGACAACAGTGCATGAGGTTTCCCTTTCTCCACATCCTCACCAGAACTTGTTTGTTGATTTATTGATGGCAGCCATTCTGGCAGGATGTAGTTTTAATTTGAATCTCTGATTATTAGTGACATTGAGCATTCTTTCATATGTCTATTGGCTGTCTGTATGTCCTCTTTGGAGAAGTGTCTATTTAAGTCCTTTTCCCATTTTTTAATTGGATTGTTCATCTTCCTTTTGTTGAGTTGTATGAGTCCTTTATATATTTTGGAAAGTAACCCCTTATCAGGACTATCATTGGTGAATATGTTCTCCCATATAGTGGATTTCCTTTTCATTTTGTTGGTGGTTTCTTTTGCTGTGCAGAAGCTTATTTTAGTTTGACATAGTCCCATTTGTTTATTTTTGCCTTTTTTTCTCTTGCCCTAGGAGATGTATCAGCAAAAATTATACTATGTGAGATGTCTGATATTTTGCTGCCCCCCCCCCTTCTAGGATTTTCATGGTTTCATGACTTACATTTAAGTTTTTTATCCATTTTAAGCTATTCTTGTGTATGGTATAAGTTAGTGGTCTAGTTTCATTTTTTTTTAAACATGTACTTGTCCAGTTTTCCCGGCACCATTTTAAAAGAGGCTATCTTTACTGCACTCACTGTATGCTGTTTTCTCCTTTGTCAAATATTAATGGACCATAATGGCATCGGTCGATTTCTGGGGTCTCTATTCTGTTCCATTGATCTATATACCTGTTCTTGTGCCAGTACCAAGGTATAAATCAAAATGTTTGTTAAATACAAATTTGGAAAAAAAATACAGTAAAATATTAGCTAGCTAGACACCTCAAGAAAAGAATGTTTCTTAGAGAGCTGTATTTTCTGGATCACTGGAAAGTCATAGTGTATAGCCAAAAAACTGGTCTGAGTTCTATTCCTAGGTCTATCTCTGTGGCTTTGGTTTGGTTCCTTAACCTCTGTGAGATTCATTTTTGTCAACTCTAAAGTAGAAATGATACTCAAACCTACTTTTTTATTTAAAAAAAAAAACACCTATGAGTCAGTTTCTATTTTGTTTGTTAGTTTATTTGGTTCATTAGATTCCACATATGAATGTAATTATATGGTACTTGTCTTTCTCTTCACTGGCTTATTTCACTTAGCATAATGCTCTCAGAGGGGAGGGTGTTACTGTGCTTTGTGAAAAAGGTGGAGGGATTAAGAAGAAAAAAAAAACACCTCATACTCAGACAACAGTATGGTGATTACCAGAGGGAAAGGGGGGTGGGTGGAAGTAGAAGAGGATATAGGGGCAATGGTGATGGAAGGAGACTTGATTTGGGTGGTAAACACACAATACAGTATTACAAATGATGTATTATAGAATTGTTAACCTGAAACCTATTTAATTTTATTAACCAATGTTACCCCCAAAATTTAATTTTTAAAAAGTGAAAATAAAAGCTACCTCTTAGCATTGTTAGTTGAATTTAATGAAATTACACAGGAAAAGAGCTTAGTATGATATCTGCACATATTAATCACTGCATAAGTGTTGCTTTTATTTTGTTATTATTATATGATAACTAGAGGCCCAGCGTGCGATTGAAATCGCACGAGGAGGTGCCCTGCCTCCCGCCGTGAGAGGAGGCACCCCATGGGGGGCCGGACCTGTGCCTGACCTGCATAGTGCTGGCAGGCCTTAGTGTTGTGTCCGCTGGGGTGGGGGCGTGCTCCGAGCTGCGCAGTGGCTGCTCTGAGCACTCCCCAGGCCGCTGCGTTGTGTCCGCTTTGGTGGGGGCAGGCGCTCCTGTGTGTTGTATCTCTGCTCTGTCCCTCACCCAGCTCAAGCCTCTCCATGTGTTGTGTCTCCACTCTGGCCCGCCCCCAGCCCCAGCCTCTCCGTGGCCGCTGGGGTGGGGGCTGCATGCAGTTCCCTCCTGCCATCTGCTCGTGCAGCTCCTCCTGAGCGGTCGTGACACTCAGCTAATTAGCATATTCCCTGTTTATATATACAGTGGGGCCTTGACTTATGAGTTCAATTCATCCTGAGACAGAGCTTG